TCCTTTGCCTTTTCAAGAACTGAAATTCTAGATTTGGATATAAAAGTCAGTACTGTCATGTAGTTAATATCTGTCAAGTGTTTTGTTTAAATTACAATGCTCACATCCATAGCATGTGTTTGAACTCCTTTTGAGACACTGGATCTATAGAAGTGTGTAAAGTCAGCTTTCATCTTCCTGAGGTATGAAAGTATTGAGGAGATCAGCTATTGATTGGATTGGATTGCCAGCTCCTTTGATCCTCACAGAAATACACTAATGATACCACATAAAGAATGTAGCTGCACACTAGAGGAACAGATAAAATGTGCACAATGTGGTTTGGGGTGGGGAGGGGATAGATAGGTATGGTGCTATAGGTTCAGTCCTGACAAGAAGTACTTGCTGCCATTTATGTTTGCAGGAAGGTTAAATGTTTACTCTCCTGGAGGGGTCCTGTATAAAAAGTGATGAAGTAAGTGAAGTCATGATTGAGCTGTTGGTCTAAAGTGTCTTGGAGGCTCGTGTGCCACCTGGCTTCTCTGTAGCTCCTTGTGTAGCTTGTAGTTTTGAAGTATAAAAGTACATGACTTGATCTAGTGATGACTTGTGTGCTCCGATATGACTTCTTGGAGTGAGTGTCTGATTTTTTCAGTTGCCAGACAGTGAACTTGAATTGTTTAGTGATGCTGACAAGTGAAAAGTATTCCATTTGTCCTAAAGGCAAGAAGAACTGCAGCTTCTGTTAAGGTCTATTGCTAACATAACCACTCATGGTGGAGAGTGAAAGACATTTTTCTGGCACTAGTAGACTACTTAGATAGTAACAAAATAAAGTAGATTACTTTACATGGTAGACTTAAGAAATGCACCTTTTCAACACCCTGTCTCCCACAGTACAAAAGCAAAAGGACAGTCTTTCCTATGGCTGTTGTCCAAAACACTGACAATATCTCATTTTTGGTTATGAATGTGCAGTCAGCATCCAAGTTTTCATTATAAAACTTCATCTTTTTTGAATAAGGCTTTTGTAAAGAGAAAATAATATTGGTGGCTTTGTATTTTAAATATTTCTCATATATTTATCTTCTTGTCCTAATAAGTCAAATCTACCAGCAGTTAATCTGATGGAAGTCAGGCTATTATGATGTTTCTTTGACCAGTTACTTTGCTTTCATCTTAGGTCCTGTATTGTTTTGTCCACCTCTGTTTATCAGGTTTCAGTCCCAACACAGATTTTCATTGGTTATGATACCTGTGGAAAATTTTCTGCCAGCTAAATAGTTTTTCTAAAAAAAGCCACAATGATGCTATTCTAATATTGTGAGGTGTTTTATATGCTGAAATATATGGAACAATATCTTTCTTGACAGATGGTATATCAGTTTAGTTGTTTAAATAGTTCCCAAAAATAAGGGTTTGGGAAATGAATGTTCTTCAACGAAACGTGCATGGCACGTTTGTGTATCTTTGACCTTTTACCTTTATCTTTCTTTTCTACTCAAAAGGTCAGTGTTCTCTAGAACTTTTAACTTCTTTTGTTTGTAGCAGCCTCTGGATGCTCATATCTCCTTAATTATATGTTTTTGTGTGTTGCAAAACTAAAATCAATAAATAGCATTTACTTAAGGGGCCATCTCGAAAGGCACAAAGGCAGTGAGGAAAGAATTATCAAGTTAGTCACAAAAGCCTACTACCTTTACTCCAATTTTCAAACACTGTGAAGATGCTCTGAGTGGCTGAATCAAAAGTGTATTATCAGTGTTCAGATTTTTGCATCACTTGGTTCCAAAAAATAATAATGGTAAAATAAAATGGCTGATGCAACTGCTCAGTAGATGTCTTTATATGATCCAAGCTTGTATTTAGAGAAGAAATATATATTTGTTTCACATCCAGGGAAATATTGTCCTTCTAGAGCACAACTTTAATAACCACAGGCTCTGATCCTGCAGGCAAGTAGGTACACATTAAATATTAGCAATAGCAATGCCATCTGACTGCTTGCCTTCTTTTTGTATATTAATATTTCAGTAATAGTTATGAAGAGCAACTTGCCTCTTCTTACTCAGTAGTTTGATTTAGCATTTTTTATGGTGTCAGGCTGTAGAACTGCTTAGAACATTGATTTCTTGTTTAAATTATTTCCCTGCTGCTGCAGCAGTATTTAGGAAGGTTTCTATTGTGATGCCTAAACCATATGCTAAAAATCATCTTGTTACTGAAATTGCTCCAAATAAGGAAAAAAATTGGGTACCTCATGTTTTATGGCTGTGTGTTGCTGAATACAGGTTTTATGTACTTGTAAACCACCTGTACCTGTCTTGAGTCCAAATGGTATTGTAGCCCTCTGGTAACAGCCAGTGAGAAAAACTAAATACTGAGTGGATTAGTATTGTTGCTATTTAACTTCAATAGTAAGTATTAATAGAAATCATTTTATGGTCAATAATAGCCTAAGTACCTCATTTAGAAGTAACTTTATACTAATTACAGGTACTGCTGTAGGCAAATGAAGACTTGTGATTTTTATCAATTTTGATATGAACTAGGAGGATTCTTGCTATACCACAGGTCTGGCTGACAGCAGCCTCTGTACACAGTATTCCATGTGCTAACATGGTGTTACGTACGGGAACCGAACAACCATCATGGTGTAAAATTGCATGGGGTTATACAGGTCAGTTATGGACAGGACTACAGTCTTTGCCTGAAACCTTGTATTGAAATTCAGATAACAGGTATTTGGTGATTGTAACAATCACCAAACAAGGGCTGACAGAAATAAGACTTATCCTATCCATTTCCCCAGTTGCCCTTATGTACATGTATGTTCTCCCCACATCTGTGTTCCCTTGGCTTCTTGTTAGGTCCCACCAGCCTTGGCCAATGGAATATACATAAATCTCCCTGAGCTGCCATTCATGTACTTGTTTAATCTTCTTTTAAGCCCACATGATACATCCCTCACTCTTATGTAGAATAAGTTTGCTTCAGCTACAAGTTGCTTAGCTTGATTTCTTCTGTCAATTTTTATTTTCTGTTGTGTTCCTCTTAATATGTTTGGACCCAGCTTACTGATTTAGTAGATAGGTGCTGTCACTGGTATATTGATTCACTTGCAGTGCCAGCAGGAGTTGTTGGCAGAAGGATCACCTTTCTTTTTCTTGCACAAGTTGCAAGCAAAAGTGTAGTGCATTCATCACTTCATCCCAGAGTTGTTTCAGTTTCTAAGTGTATGAAACTGTTACTACACTGTTTGCTGTTTTTTCTCTTTCAGTTACTGTGCAGCTGCAGTAACTGGCTTTTTAAAAAGATCATGTTGAATTTTGGGGGGAGATTTGAGCTGCTTGGTGGAAGTGCCAGAAGAGTTTCTGGTTTTCCCTTTGTTGGCAACTGTCTTTGTAGATTTTCTACTCCACAGCCTCACATGTTGAGTTGTTGAATAAAGAAAAGCCCAGCCAAACAACCCTGCAGCTTGAATTGAACTGAAACTAAATACTCCAAAGATAGCTATGAATAATTCAGTTTCCTCTGTTGTAAGGTAGATAAATTAATCCTTTAATTTTTTATACTACATGTAGGAGGAATATAAAGTCAAATATGCAAATAAGGGAGGGCAAAGTTCACAATAGAAGTTAAAATTTAGAATTTAAGGAATATCCTACTTTCTGTATTTATTACTTACTGGGCCAGCTTTTCAGCAGGTAAATGACAATATAATGTTTTCTTGCATATTTTAGGGATCAATTCGTTAACCACTTACCACTTAGGATGTTCATCATCAAGCTGCAGCAAATCAAAGTAGGAAGTTAAAAGAATACACTGTTTATTTCCTGAAACTTCAGTGTTTCTAGAGAGGAAGGTGCACTTTTGCATTCTATTGCTATAGTCCTTTGTCTTCTGATGCATTGCTGTCTTTTATTTCTGTAATTCTATTTGTAGCTTGAAACTTTGTAGTGTGTAACAGACATAAGAAACTTTTAACTGGAGGTCAAATTAGTGTGATTTACTTTTAGTATAGACTGCTTAAGTAAAGACTTGATGAGACTATTTGGATGTATCTTCTCAAAACAGAGATTTAGACATGTGGCTACCATGAATATTCAGCAATGATAGGAAGCTGAAGTTGTGTCACCCTCTTAAATTACCTTGGCATAACACTTAATGATTATCATGGTGAGTGAATACTATTAATGAATAGAAAAATATGGAATAAAGTTGATGAATATTTCTAGGGTATTTTGGGGGTACTTTAAGGTCATGTATGTAGCATCAGAACATTTTAAAAGTAACCATGGGAAGAGGATTTTTAAAGCTATTTTTAGTTTTGTTCTGTGTGCCACAGAGCACTAGAGATTACCAATCTGTTAAATGACAGTTTGTTTTAAAAACCTTTAAATTTAGAATTCCTGTCTTTCTGTTTGGATTGGAGGAAATACACTAAAATACTGTTTAAATTGGAGGAAATACACTATATACAACTATCAGTTGCAATGTCTTGCAAATGTAAAACTTGCTGATGTAGTTACCATTTTTTAATAGATCATTGACCCATCAATCAGACTCTGACCATTTCAGAGATAAAGAGCTTGGCTTTCATTGGCTTTTAGGAAAAGAACAGCTTTCCACAAATTAGGAAATGGTGTAATAATTAACAGGTATAATGGATATGTGCATTCAGGTTTCAGTTGTATCTTTGAGTTTTAGCTCCTGTTATCCTTGGTGTAGTTAGTTAACCCACTGTCTGCCCATAGATAATTTAACTATAGTATAAAATGGATTATTTTTGTGGAAGTAGAATTTACTAAAATGATAGTTTTTTTGCTCACCTTTTAAAATCTGTAGTGAATTGTTCTTTCGGATTTTCATTTATAACAAGGTGCAGAACTTCACTAACAAAACTCATTAAGTGAGTAATAATTCTGTTCTAAAGCAGCAAAGCAAAGGTTCTTTAAATAGTTTTGTGTACAGAGAATTTATGTAAACTCTAATTTTTTATTTTTTTTTCTGAATTACAGACTTAAATGATTTTAGGTACGGGTCATTCCTCAGACAGGAAGAAGTTTGACATCTCTGACTCAAAAAGTCACTTGGAAATTGGCAAAGTAGGTCATTTAGTAGTGGACCTATTGCACGAATCAGAAAGTTGGCAGAGGTCACTTACCATTCCTAAGGTAATTTATGTTTTGAAAATATAAACTGTATTTTAATTGCAAACATTGATTAAAAAACATCAAGATTAAGTTCCTTTGGTGTGATCATAGAATCATAGAACAGCTCAGGTTGGAAAGGTTCTTAAAAATCATCAAGTTCCATACCCCCTGTCATGGGCACATTTCGTTAGACCAGGTTGCTCAGGGCCCTGTCCAGCCTTGAATATACTGGCACTGCAAAATGTGAGTCAGGAAAGCAAATCCTAAGTTTAGAGAAGCTACAGAATTGGAAAGTTAAGGAAAACTTTCTGAAATTTTGTGTAACTTACAAACCTTTAAACATGTCAAAAAGTAAAAGAGAAGTGATACTTAAAATGAGGGGCTGATAAATTACTATATAACTGTTTGTTTACCAAGTTCATTTGAACTGATAGTAACATTTTCTGTTTCTCACAGATCTGTTACTAGGCTTTTTACATCATGTATATTAGGTAGCCTTTTATCTACAAAACTTATTAGCATCACTTCTTTAGGGATTCAACCTCACTATTACTTTGCTTTGTCTTTCCCTTACCTAATCCACTACTTCAGTGTTGATTGTCAGTTCTGTTCTTCTGGCTATTTGTATATTACCATTCTTTATGTAACTCAAAGTTTTCACAGCTTTGGGTATTGTCCTTTAAAGGTTACCATTTTCTGTGACTAAATTTAAATGTACAACTGCAGAAGTTTGGACACTCCAGTGTTTTAAGTGGTATTTATTTTGTCATGAACATAAAATATGGGTTTTGTAGCTTCTTTATATTTTGCCCTGTCTAATTTTAGTGACTATATTGCTTTTCCAGTGATAGCAATGATATACCAGAGATCAGTATTCCAGGATGTTTATGGTTTTTCCATGTTACAATGAGCCTTATGAATGTGTAGATTTATCGACCCCTAGTGGGGTTGTTAGGAAAATGGTTGCTAATTTAATTAGTGCTAAATAATGAATTTCCATATTTTTCAATGCTGCATTTGTTTCAATGGTCTTTTCCTTCTGTTTACAGCTGGATTTGCTCTTGATTTTTTTTCTGGTATTCTCTACGTCTGCAGAATTGCCTATTGAACCAACTTCTATTAACAACAAAAGTAAAAACTACTCCTAAAACAACTAGCTGTAATCACCATTTTAAAGAACAGTTATAGCTGTTTCTGCATATTTTAAAAATATAATTATACAGCAGAAATTCTTAAAAATGAAAGGTCTTTTGGTGTGCTGTGTAAGTGGGCTTATTTTTAATTAGCTAGAAAAGCTAGTAATTTCTTGAGTAGTTTGCTGTTACATAAATGAATTAAAGCAAATGCTAAATCACCTGCTCAAGCTTTACTGACCTCTTAGTGATTATTAAATAATTATAATTGATCATTAATAGCCTGAAACAGTAGTTTCATGCTAAAACAGCATGTAAAATACTGTATTTCTAGCAAACTTTAATTTTAAATAGCTCTAGTGTTTTAATCATTTAGTTGAAACTCTAATTTTCTGGGAGATGAAATGATCTCCTAACCATGTTGTGAAGATTTCTTACATCTGTTTCAGATGAGTCAAAATCAAGTACTGAATAGTGAAGTAACATTTGACTGTTTAATTAGCAATAATAAATAAAGACAAATAGGTCAATAATTTTAACTTCACTATAATGTGCTTCCATGTGTCAGAATAAGAAACTAGGTGTTGCTGTAATTTTATTTTTCTATGAAGGTTTGACACAAATAAATGTTAAATATATCTAAAATAAATTCCCCTTTTTAGATTTTGTATGTCTAATTTTATAGGGTTTAAATAGTCAAGTAGTGTTTTTCCCAGTTAAACTATTAAATACTCCCTAAACTATGAATTTTAGGCGTTTTTAAAATTGTAAAGGAAAAAGTAAAAATTTTTTTTTTTTTTTGCAATTACTAGTATTTATTATTGTGCTTATTGCACAAACCACGTTATTTAAAGTCAAACTCACACAGCAGTCAAAAATGTCCAAAAGATCTCAGATTCATATTTTTGTAGGAGCACCCAGTATTCCGAGCCTGCTGGAGGGGTTAGAGCAAAGTAGTTCAGCCCCTGCTGGTGAGAAATGGCGAGAACTGCACTGTTTGTGTGATACACATGGGTTTGTTTCTGCAAAGGTCCAGGCTGCTGCTGCCCCCTCGGTGCCCCAGGCAGAAAGCTCCACACTCACAGGAGTCCCTGCAAGTGGGGACAGCGCTCAGCAGGGCAGGTTCATGGCAAAAGAAGGAAAAGATTTGACATCTCCTGCCCCTATGGCAGTAACTTGTACCAGCACATTTAAAAAGAGCACAAGTTTAACTTGCTCTGATTGTCAAGTATCCAAAGATAGATGCAGACCTGCAGGTGTAAGTCAGGCTGCAGGGGAGCACCTGCCCCAGAGCTGTGCAGAATCAGCTGGACAAGGGAAGCCATCACATGCCTGCTGCCCAGACCTCACTGAGAGAAAAGCCAGTCCTTTGGAAGTTAACAGCTCGGACGTTCCTGCTTTGGTTGCCAGTACTGAGCAGGTCAGCATCCATCTACGGTCCTTGGGACTTCAGGCAGGTCACAGAAGTGAGCATCATGAACATCCAAGTCAATATATAGATATGTGTTTCCAAGGAAGTCTGGAGTCCAAACCAAAAGAACAGAATGACTGTGCAGACTCTGCAGTGTCAGCAGACACTGAATTTCGTAGTGTAGTGACTTTGAGTCAGGTGGCTGTTTTTGCACAGAATGAAATGCAGGAAAGAATTGTAAAACTATCAGAAATAGAAGCAGGTAAAAAAGCCGAAGAACGACAGTATAATCACTTCCAATGTGATTCTGGTTTTGGAACATGTACTACTAGTGTGACTGAAAATGAATATAAGGAGGAGGATGCAAGTTCTCTTGAACTTTTCAGTTCCGAGGATGATGGGGAAAATGTTTGGATTAAAGCTACAAGACAGGAAGAAAGTGCTCAGGAAAATGCAGAAAAGTTTCAAGAACTTAATGTTCCTGCTGAGCAATTTGTAAATGAAATCCATATTGAGCCATTGAGTTCTGGAATACTGTGCTCTCAAGGGAACTGTTCTCAAAAGAACTCCTCTAAAAGACCCCGCAAGTATGAAGATTCCTTTCATCTTTTTCACTCCACATTTAAAAGACAGGTGAAATCCAAGAGAGCTAAATTGAATTCTTCTCCACCTGGTTCTGGGGTGAGAGTGGATCCAGACAGGATGACAGAGTTCAAGAAACTCCAGAAGAAGCTATCACTGCTTAAGAATTGCTGCATCAAAAATCAAAAGTACAATATTTTGGTCACAGTTGTACATCCTTGTCATATCAAAGAAATACAGATGAAGACTAAACCAAAATCTTCGTGTAAGGTTCCTGTAGCAACAATTGTTGTTACTGACCAGTCAGAAACTGAGAAAAAGGTGGTGCTGTGGCGTGGTGCTGCATTTTGGTCCCTCACTGTGTTTCCTGGGGATATCATACTGCTTACAGGTGAGAGTTCTTTTGTTTGCCTTCTTAAAGTATGGATCTTTAAAATGCCTGTTTAAAGTAGAAGAATGTTAGAAGTAATTTGGAACTACAGCTAAGCATTTGTAAGTTGCTTTCTTACATCAATTAGATCATTTGAGTTCTCAGTCATCCTGCCAGTGGAACATTAACTATTCCATGGAAGTTTGCCCTCAGACAGCTATGGGGAGCCAGGGCTGTTCTGTAAGGTGCCAGTGTTTTAAAACAGTTGTTCCTGAAAAGTACAAGTGCTACCAGACCTAAGCAGTGTCTGCTAGGAGGCTAATGAATTTCAGAATTACATCAAACTATCGGGAATTTTTTTTTTAGCTCATTGTAAATGGTGTTGGTAGATTAAAAAAATAATCACTGTGTTTCCAAGTGATCTCTTTCAGACCCTGTTCCTTACATATCTGTATGTAAGATGGTTATATAGTTAAGAAAAATATGATACACTTCAATATTGTCGACACATGAGTTGATAAGGTTGCTTTTTTCTTGCAGATGTAATAATGTATGAGAATCATTGGTGCGGAGAGGTCATGCTTCAGTCTACATTTACCAGTCAGTTACTGAATCTGGGGAACTGCTCAGCTCTCAATCCAGAAGAATGTAAGATTTTAGTGCATAAGTTGCCATGAAAATCACAGTCAAAGAGCTATTTCAAGCACTCCATTTTGTTGGCAATGTCTCATACATGGGATAAAACAGAACTGTGTGCAACTGAGAGGTACAAAACACAATAGAAAAATGTGACAGGAACACCTGAGCACAAGATGTGGACATAACATCAGATAGGCATGTGGAGATCATGGTAAAGTTTGATGGCTACTACTCTGAACTCTAAAAAAAAAATGTTTAGCTTAGGAAAGAGCAGTTATCCCAGGACCTGGCTGTGTGATGTCTGAGATTTCATGAGGATTAAATTTTTTGCAAAATGGAGTAAGAAGATGCATTCAGGGAAAGTGATTAATTGCAGGCCAAAGAGGATTGGAGACTGAGGGGAAAATACTGTGGAAGTATCACTGTTGTTCTTACTGTCTTTGTGGTGTCTGCTATTGAGATGCCAGCTCTTTACAGGAGATTCTGAGGTCAATGATCAAGAACGGCTTTTTTCTTACCAGGCTATGATATGAGATTTTTTTCTGTGTATTTTAAAGTATTGCACTTAGGTTAGCTTCATTTGCCTCCTCTTGATATTACCCTGAAGTGCAGTTTAATTTCAGATCAAGTGTTACATATCTCAGGAATTACTTACCTTCAAATTGTTCTTAAACTGTTTTGATTTTGTCAGTGTAAACATGTTCTGAGTCATAAGTGATGTATTTCTAAGTGTAAAAAGCAGTATGTGACTTGGCCTTTTTCCCACATAAGTTTATCCTCTAGTGGATGGTGGTGTTCTCCTTGGCTTATTGGCATACATCTCATCAGAATTTCCACACTTCAGAGACATTCCACAACGACAAGTTCAGAGACTGGATGATGTTCGGTATGTGCAGCTAGATCAGCTCCAGCCAAATACTTTGGTGCACTCAATCCTGAAAATTACCAATATTTCTGTGTTAACAGGTAAGTTCATGCACTGAACTTTGACTTCTGAAATAGGTGGAACTTAAATAGTTGTTTTGCAAGGCAAAATGTTTCTCACTGCTTGACTTCAAGCTTTGCACAAAAATTTGATCACATTGCACTCTCATCTTGAATTAATAAAATACAAATTTCTACCCACATCATCAATGTCATGTTTATTAGTCGTAAGTGCAGAATTTGGAAGACAGAAATCTTCATAATTTTCTCTAGTATGTAAATCTTGGAGCTAGATATTAGTTAGATATTTCATCTTGTTTAAAAATTATTTATGAAAAATGCTGTAGTTTTAGTGTGGAACTGAAACAAACATGCAGTAGTATCCTGGATAAGGGTAGTGAAGAGATGTCAATTGTTGCAATTTGTATGTACTATTACTAATAGTTTTAGTATGCCTTGACTATGCATGACTATAGTTTTCTTTTATGTGAAAAGCTCTAGAGAAATATTTCTTTTTTTGTATTCTACAGAAGTTATGGGAACTTCCAATTACAGCAGTTGCTGAGAGATTGAGTACAATTTCTTTCTACTCAATACCAGTCAGGATGAGTAGGAGCTGAAAGATGCTCAGATACCTCCTGCTTCAAAGGGAGTTGTCCAATTAGTCAGTACTTAGATAAAAGTAAATTAATATACTTTATGCACTCCCTCAAACTAGATTCCTGTTGAAGAAGAAATCAGATTATTTTCTGTCCAGAAGAAATTGTAGGTGTATTCTTCTTTGCTTTTAATAGTAGCATAAAATGTGATAACACCATGATTTCACCGTAATACTGAGGCACATGGGGTTTGTGTGCTTATATACTTTTCACTGTAGAAGTAAGGTAATTTCAATTCTTTTCAGAGTCTGTGTACAGCTACAGAGGTGGCAGCCAAAGAAAAGTTATTCTAACAGTAGAACAGAACAGAGGTCAGCCCTATAGGATGGTTCTGTGGGGAGCAGGGGCTGCCTGGTGCCCCCAGCTTCAGAGGAAAAAAGGTAAGGTCCTTGTACCTATTGGTAGGTGTAGAGGGATTTTTGTGATGCTGTTAGTTCCTTTTAAGTGTTCAGCTGGTAACATTTATCCATTCAACCTTTAAATACTCCCCTTGGAGGGGCAACATATTTTATGCTAATTCTAACATGTCTCCTCTGTTGAGAAGCAGTGCCATCAGCAGCAGAATTTGAATGCACTTTAGAAGACTGAGAAGGCATAAATATTCAAAAACTTGAATCTATATACAAGATGCACTTATTTGCATAGGGCCTGGTATGTAACTATAAAAATCCATGAGTTTTAAGTGTGTTACCAGTTTTGCTAGGTCTTCCTTACCATTATCTAGGCTCTGGTTTAGCATGAATTGCTGGGTTTTTTCTACTCCTTTTTTCATTTTCTGCTTTCCACCTTACTTGTGTCAGGCTTTATATATTGATGGTCTTGAGATCAAGTCCAGCTGTAACTAAGTGAAAGCATCTCTTGCAAGAATTACATAGAATGTGTTTCAGCAGTGACTACTACCAAATTTTGATTTATTCCTAGTCTTGTTCTCTTAGGTTAAACTAGGTTCATGTTAAATTGATAATTGTGAAGATAGACGATTAAAAAACGGACATATTAAAGAAATGGAAGCTGATTAGTTACATGAAGTTTTTTTCTCTGAGACATTGACAGCATTAGAGCTGACAACAAATTTCAGAGCTAGTTCCTTTTTGAAAAGGCTGAGTTGTCTTGACAGCTG